GTGGATAAGGGGTGGCAACTACTTCCGCAAGACCAGGGAGATGGTGACTATTTCAATGGGTAGTTAGGCAGATAACAAAGTGGAAGGAGTCTAGTTTAAATAGATGAGTCTTAGGCAAAGGTCATGGGATTATTACAAAACATACTACTACTCTTGTATTTAAACTCTCAAGTTCGTCAATATACTATTTAGCCTTCATTGTTATTTTTCATATATAATTCTTGTGCGATCCCATATATCAAATCAGTTGTTATCTTGATTATTTCTTGCTTAAACAGTTTTGCTACTTTCCACTTGTTGAAATGTTAGTCGATCCCGGTTATATCTTTAACTTATCCCATCTCGAATACTTAATCGAGCAGTATTTCCAATTCATCGAGGATAGTTATTAATAACGATCGTTCATTAACAACCCTTACTATTAGCCAAATATAGAACACCTTCATATATATAGACTTAATAGTAGCATTTAATCTTTTTAACTCCTTGATGAAATCAATTGAGATTGATAACCCGCAACACAATGGCTTCGGTTTAACCAACACAATTAATATCTCATAAGTTTATTAACCACGACCGTGCATTAATAAACCGAAGTTACTTACTTGTGAAACCAATAATATTAATTTAACCATCGGTTCATTGATCGTTTCAGGTAATAATTAATGTCGAAGCGTTAACTAATCGTCACTTATCAACACCCAACATTAATATAGAAATAAGATTAAGGGAAAAATTAATATTCAAGAGAAGAAGTTAAGAAAATAACTCACAACTTAAACATTCAACAACCTTCAAGAGCAAAACCAACAAATGGGAGTTTAGCTCCTCATTTGGAGGCTAGATAAATATAAAGAAATTACTCCCTCTGTCCCATTTTTCGTTTTCCGTCCGTCCCACTAAATTTGTCTCATACCATATTTTGTAATATTTGTGGGGTTCTAAATCATTCTTACTTTATTCTCACTTTAACAATTCATTATCAACCATATAATTCTACGTTTCCTAAAAACCGCACCACCCTTCTTTGTCCCAATCTTAGGTGGACGGAGGTAGTACTATTCTAAGTAGAGCTCAAGTATATGGAAGAAGGAAATGAATAAAAATGAAGAAAGGGTGTGCTATTTATAGGTGTTTTCAACACCTTGGGTTCAGGTACGCGACAGGGTATAGGTCATAAGTGATCAGGTATCGGTCAAAATTGAATCAATCTTCCACATTCTTGTGTTTTTAGCATGCATGTTTGTCCGGGTCAAGTCATACCGGATCAAGTATGAGTATAATTTCCAAGCAGCTTCCGTTTTCACATCTTACCCGACCGGGTATTGTTCCTGGATAGCATATTCACAACATTTTCTCCTTTTCCAATGCTATTAATTCTACTACTACTTTACAACTCAAAAATGAAAGCTAAAATACAATTACAACCAAAATCACATCAATGATTGCAAACTCACAATAAAGGCAAACAGTCAACATACATTAAACACAAAAACATACATGTATGCACTAATTAGTGCATATCACTATGTGAGAGAGACAAGAGAGAGAGGGACATGAAGTCGATTCTTCTTCTTGCTAGGTTTTTGGAAGGGGCCATTTCAGTCTTTTCACTATTAGTTTGGTATCTTTTTTGGCCAAATAGAAGTTTGATCCTATATTTGTCCATTGCAAACTCATAGATAATATTTTTGTTTTTGTTTTTATATTTAATGGTAGTCTTGAACAAGCGTGAAAAATGATATTATATGATTCAAATTTTTAGTATTATATTTTTTAATGATAAACGGATTTTAATAATATAGAGAAAACATGCAAGATAACATCAACATAGATATTACAGATCCGATTGTAAGCCCTGGTAATAGACATAGAGTTAGTCGTCCATACAAAGCAACTTAAATTAACTCGCTAGACACAAAATGAACAAAATTAAACCTAAAATGACCGAAAATGAAGCACTATTTATCAAAAGTTCTTCAAAATCAAAACAGTCCAATTATATCTACTCGAACTAAAATAAAAACAAATACTACTAAAGAAAAATAATATGGAAATAAAACACTTTGCACAAATTGCTTCCTGGCGTGAAGGTGGCCTCAGTCTCTCGGATGAGGATGAGCTTCTACAGTACGGCTGTATGGGTGAAGGCTAAATCCCTCTTTCAAATGTCGTTTTCAAGAATTTCGACCACCAGAAAATCCGCTTGAAACCCTATCCCCTATCGGTCGCATCTTCGAGCACCAGACTTTCCTCTTCGTCCTCTATAGTGAGCATGTAGTACTGTTCCTCAAGCTTCTCCATTGAAATCGCCAAAGTCAGCCCGCAAAGTCGCTGTCGTGCTTCAGTGCCTTCATTTGTATGTGAAATCCAGTAGCCGAACAAATTGTCGGCTCCATGCATTACACTCCACCGGAAAAACCAATCCCTAGAGAACCATAGAGAACGGCAGCCGCCAGTGGCGGATCCAGAAAAAATATTTATTGGGGGCAGAGTAATTAAAAATACGACTTATTATGTGCCTTTTATGTCTTGTTTCGATTTGACATATTATTAATAAAGTGCATGAGAAATTAAAAATTATGATAGCGGTTTGAGTATGATAAAGTGAAATATTGTGGATCCGATATTTATTTCCCAACAAGAAAATATGACACTTACTTTGAGGTAACTTAAATTGAAAAGTAAGATATGTAAAATGGGACGGAGAGAATACTGTGTAAAAGTGATAGAACAAAAGAATAAAAATTAGTAAAGAATAATTGTGTTGTTACAATGACATAAATTTGGACATAATTATATAAATATGACCAAAATAAAGATAATTTAAGAAAATATAACTAGTGACTAGAGTAGTAATGAAATCATAGTAATTCATGTTCAAGTTTTGAGCTTAAGTTACCACAACACCACATTGTAGTAATGAATAGTCATATTTATGCAAATATGTTTTATTTTAGTAATATTCTTGTAAAAACTCAAAATATATCACAATTGCTTGCATCGAGTTTTCATCAAGAATTGAATTGACATCCATTATAGTTATAATATTATATTTTTTTTTGAGAGTATAATATTATATTTAACTGTCTACAATAACATATTATTTACAATTAAAAAATTATTTATTAAATGACATTTTCTAATAGATGTAAAAACCAGACTCTAATAGATTTTTTTAGAAGAACCAGACTCTAGCATATGAATAACTATTTCAATAAGAATGTTTTTACTTAAACTATTTTTCAGTTCTTGACCAGACTAGACTTAAATAGACTTTCATACCTATAAAGAGTACAAATCTCAGATATTTATCAGACCAGCTCAGATCAAACCAGACCAGATCAGACTTAAACAGATCAACAAATTTATGGATGTACTCCAATAACCATAAAATAAATTAATAGCATTATAATAAATTTAATAACAGTATCTATTATTCATATTTAAAAAGTAAAATAAATACATAATGACTTTGGAGTTTTTAGTTATTTATATAAAAAGTAACATACACTGAAACACTTTAAAAAAAGTAACATAACGACCTACGGAGTAAGAGTTTTAACAACTAAAGGAACAAATTAAACGCATACAAGAGTACAAGACTAACCCAACGATCAATGACTCATCAAAGCACCTAGGTTTTCTTTCCTACTCAGCCGTCAAGTGTGTCTTCCGGATTGGGTTTAAATTTAAATTTTACAACAGTGGGCCTTCGGAGTGGACGGACAGGACTTATTGGGGGCAACCAATTTTTTTTATTGGGGGCAATCGGTTGTTTATTAAGGGTAAATACCTAGACTTTATCATTTACTAAGGGTTTAATAGGAATTTATTGTGGGCAGCTGCCCCCATAACGTTGTAAGTATATCCGCCCCTGGCAGCCGCTAAACTTTTAGTATTATATGAAGGAGTTTTTTTCCGTATTAATGTTAATTAATTAATTATTTACGAAAATAATGCTGGAAAAAAAGTATTTACCAAAATACTGCTGGGCCTTAACCGTGGTCAGGGAAAAGTCGCCCAACCGTTGGGCGACTTATAAGTCGCCAAACGGTTTGGCGACTTATAAGTCGCCCAACGGTTGGGCGACTTTGCCCTGAAATATGGTTTCAAGCGAGCAGCTACTGCCAGCCACGCACGATCGTGCCTATTTCCTTAGGCACGATCGTGCCTATTACCTAAAACACCAAATCAGCTTGTTTTTCGCCCCGGTTCAATCCAGACCGATCTGTTTGCTATAAATAAGGTCTCCTTTCTCCTTTTGAAGTGTTACAAACTAGATACAACACATGATAATCACCTACTCTCAACAACATAAAAAACTCCTTATAAACAGCGCTAAAAAACTTTCAAATCATAACCGGTATAACACAGTTCAATCATCATATATGCCATAACAAATAATCATGTAATATTCATACTCGAACACATCAATACAACATAGAATACTTAACAAGAGAAAATACATCAAAACTTGTAAATTGTTCCTACAACATCTATTGCATAAGAAAAACTACAATACAAAAGACAAACTACAAGTTCCCATCATCAGCTTCGTCATGGAGATGTTGCTGCTCATGTCTACGCCTACGGCGTTGTCGTGGTTGAAGAACCACTCTCTCATGTTGCGTCTGGGATGATGAAGCCGCGGCTGCACTAGACGTGGATGCCATCTCCTGAGATGCGGACATGTGTATAAGATGTCCGTAGTCTACTCGACCCAACACATCTGAGCATAACGAGGCAATGCCTGTCAGAGTCTGTCCATACATGTCCACATCAGGAATATCAGTCACAGTGGCAGTAGCCCGCTGATGTATGCGCTGCAAAGCTCGGGTCTGCAATACGAAACACAATTACAATTACATTCAAATACATACAAGTATTACATAAATAAAATGACTTACTTTACTAATTAGTAATATACTCACCGTAAGATGCAATGCCAATGAGCTAGGCTGATAATGATGAGCAGGGAGTCTGAACGAAGGAGACACAAACAACCGAGTGATGCTGTAGTACCATCCCATGTAATCTCCTGAAACTGATGGCACATATGTGGGTGTCCCAGCCACGGCTAGCTCAGCTCTCCTATCCCACATAGTCACGTATCGGACATGTCTGAGTGTCCAATCCTCTGTATGCTTCCCACGCCTATCCAGCTTATGCAGCTCTACATAAGTGTCGATAGGACGTGGAATGACCTGCTCAAACCCAAACTGTCGCATGACTCTATCAGGCAAATGAAGCTCAACAATGTCAAAACATATCAGCGGCACACGTGCTCGCCATATGTGAGTCTGCTCTCGTCCAGCTGGGGGCAACTCTGCTAACATATCAGGTCTATACGGCATCCATGTGATCTGTTTCGTAAACATACAAAATTAGTATTTATTCTACACCTATTCTAGTTACTGTTATACTACACACACCATACCTGGTCCTCTGACATCCGATCCAATGCATCCCTGTACACACCGAGGCCAGTAGCGGATGACATGCGAGATAAACCAGCATATAACCACCTAACCATTAATGTTACAATATCAATAATATGGATTTTATTAATGCATTTACATTCAACAAAAACTAACACAAATACAAACGATTGAAAACATACCGACGGCCTAGAGGGTCCACGCCCCGTACATGATGTGGTCCTAGCAGACGTGGAGGCTCATCAGGCAGTGGCTGTCCATCAATGCCATGATATCCAAGTATAATGGGACGGCCAATGTGGATATACTCCCATGACCAAATCTGGAGGAGTAGCAAAAATCCCCCCAACTCTGTGCTCCCTCTCTGGCACCCGCGACACAGCTGCCTGTAGAGATAAGCCAGGGTGGCACTACCCCAGCTAAACTGTGCTGCTACATCAAACCTCTCCAGCAAAGGCAGGTGTAGCACCTGAACCTCATTTCCGCTCTTGTCAGCGAAAATGGAGGCTCCCATCATCATCAATATATACGCCCGAGCATGCTGCTGGATGATCATCTCATCAGCGTCGGGAGGAAGGGCCTGTAAGTGCTCCCTCAACCATGGCATCCTAAGAGATGACCCCTGAAGGTCAGCCCTAAGAACGGGGCGGATGCCTAACAACCTCTCACACTCATCCACCCACTGTCGACAAGCAGTGCCTGTAACAGCTCTCCCATCAACCTCTAACCCAGTCAGTACAGCCACATCTCCCAATGTCACGGTAACCTCACCAACAGGGAGGTGAAATGAATGTGTCTCCTGCCTCCAACGCTCAAGTAGAGCAGTGAGGAGGGCTCTATCTAAAGGCACAGTAGCCACTAACCTGTGCAGTGTAAAAAAACCTGCTGCACGAACATATGCTAGGACTCTGGGGTCGACATGTAAATGGGACAAACCCCGCAGATGCTCGCGGCACCTATCAACCTGCACATCCATGCCAAGCCAAACATCCTCACTCCTGTGTGAGGCCTGCAGTGTCAGGACAGAAGGATCACTCGGCCCAGGATCCGCTATCACCTCCATGCCTACAAACAAAATTTGTATTAGTTCTAATTGTATTAGTTGTAATTGTATAATGTATTACATTTTTTTTAACTTCCTTTTTTGAATTTATTAATTTTCCTTGCAAGGAAATAATGAATTATGATTGACTCTAAATATACACATACCCGGCGGACCCCCCCTCTTGTCTAGATGATCTCTTTGCACATGTCGCTCTATTATGGCCGGTTTGGTGGCATCTTCCACATCTAACCGTTCCTCGTGGGCCTTCATCCATCTCATTCTTAATACGGGTCGACTTTGGTCTTCCCTTTGCCCGAAGCATGGATGGATCGTGCACGATTTCGGGTCCATTGTAATTTGGCCAATAATCACGATCAGGAATCGGTTTGAACACCCTATGATACGTGGCGGCGTATTGGTCAGAAGAGAAGAACTTATCCACAAATGGAGCATAAGACAAACTACGTTGTCTACACACGGCTAATACATGGGAGCAAGGAATCTTGTATATCTCCATCTTTTTGCAAGTGCACGTTTTCCGTTGTAGATGGACAGTTTGTTTTCTCCCACCCTTTCCCAACGTTCTGCCACCACAACCGGTCTCCACCTGAAATATACCTCGCCCTAAATCAAAAGGAGTGACAATGTGATGCTTTGCCTTCTCTCTATTTTTTTCTATTAAATCTGTGATGTATGGGGAGTACTCGTGGCCTTGTGTGAGCCTCAACTTACTAGTTTCACGCCTATTCACAAAGTACGCATTAACCGGTAAAAAGACACCTGGACCAAGGCGGTAATGGGCAAATATCTAGCATTTTTCATGACGCTATTGAAAACCTCAGCCAGATTTGAAGTGATGGTACCGTATCTGTACCCGCCATCATGGTGCAGCGACCACATTTCTGGAGGAATGTTGGCCAAAAATTGTCGTGCATCCCTACTCATTTCACCTATCTTCTTGAACCCACCATCAATTTTTTTTTTCTGATGTTGCCGTGCGGTCCACACAAATAGATTTTTTAAATGAATGTCTTTGAAATGAGTGTGCACATTTGAAGCAAGATGACGGATGCATAGCCTATGATGCGCATAAGGCTCCTCCCAATTACTTCCAACCTCATTCATTGCCCTAACAATACCTCCATGTCTATCTGAAATGACACACAACTCCCTGTTAGTCACAAAATGCCTAATACATGCCATAAACCATGGCCAACTGTCTCCATTCTCGGATTCAACAACTGCAAAGGCGACTGGGAAAATTTGGTTGTTCGCATCACAACCCATGGCCACGAGCAATGTGCCCTTGTACTTTCCATACATGTGTGTGCCATCAATAGTAAGTACGGGTCGACAATGCTTAAAACCAGATATTGATGCCTTGAATGCCCAAAAAACTCTTTGAAACATCATATAACCTGTCACACCATTGGGGGGTGGGTACCACTGAACAACAGTTCCTGGATTAGAATGTTGGAGCGCTGTCATGAAACGGGGCAATTCGAAATATGACTTTTCCCAACCGCCAAATATTTGTGCTATGGCCTTTTGCTTCCCCATCCATGTTCTCCGGTAAGATACCGTATACCCATATTTTTCCTTCAACATCTCGATGATAGTATGCACTTTAAGAGAAGGATCAGTGCGAATAATGTCAACCACATCTTTACAGATGAATTCTGATGTCAAGGCCACGTGATCTGTAGTGTCGATGTTGCCTACACAAGAAGCAGAATGAGGTCCAGAATAACGCACAATTGTGAAGGTGTCAAGGTTGCCTTTGTTCTTTGTGGCGCGTATTCTCCAGGGGCATTGACATTCTTTCTTCCTTTTGCATTGTGCCACCCATTTGTGTTTGTCGGACTCTATCACCCGATAGAATTGGTTCCGTTTGATAGAATACAAGCTCACCATATTGATGACTTGTTCTTTGTTGTCAAACTGTTGACCGACCTCAAACTCACCATCGAGGGTAAACCTTTTCTCACCTGATCCACTCATCCACGCATCAGTAAAACTGACGTGCACTTTGTCGTGGTGTGCACTCAAAATAATATTCAATACAACAATTTTACGTAGTATAACGAAGTAAGGTTCGTATCCACAGGGAAAGGAATATTTCTCTTTTTAATTAACTAGTAACAAAGGGGGGGGGTTTTAGATTTGATTTGATTTGATTTAATTAACACTAAGATGAATGACTTAAATGAGTTTAATTAATGAGAAGAAGACTTGGCTTTGCTTTTATCCACTTAATGAAATGTTCGTCGATCCCGGTTATATCTTTAACTATCTTCCTCTCGAATACTCAATCGAGGAGTATATCCAGTTCATCGAGGGTAGTTATTAATAACGAGAAGCGTTCATTAATAAAACTTACTATCGAGTCAATATAGAACAAGCGCCGTATATTAAATTGATAGTAGCAATAAACTTAAGATGAAAACGATTGAGATTGATAACCTCAACACAAGCGGTTTATTGGTTTAATCAATATAATTAATTCCCCTTAAATTATTAACCATGAGATGCATGCATTAATAATCCAAGTTTACTACCATGAAAGGACCGAATTAATAACAAGCGTATTAATCGACCGATTCTAGTATTAATTAATATATGAAACAAAACTAGTTGATCCTTTAAGTAATGTTCAAAATATTAATATGAAATATGAATAGGAATTAATTAATACTCAAGAAAGAATATTAAAGAAGATGAATCCTACTATAGTTAATATCAAGATGTTAACTAATTGTCATCTTAGTAACACTCCCCAATATTAACGTAGAGGAAGAAATAATTATTACTATAACTAATGTCAAGATGTTAACTAATTGTCATCTTAGTAACACTCCCCAACATTGATATAGAAATAGTATTTAAAGGAAGAATTAATATTCAAGGAAGAAGATTAAAGAGAATAACTCACAACTTACAAATTCATTAAGCTTCAAAGTAGCAAAACCAAGATGGAAGAGTTTAGCTCCTCATTTGGAGACTAAACATGATAGAAAATATAAAGAAAATACTAATCTAAACTGAGCTAAAGAGTATGGAAGAAGGGGTGCTTAAAAGTGAAGGAAAATGGGGCTATTTATAGGTGTTTTGAAGGTGCTGCACCAGATACCCGGCCGGGTATTTGAGATACCCGACCGGGTATTTGTCAAAATCAAATATTTTGCCCACGATTTTGTGTTTTCTGCACGTCTTTTTGTCCGGGTCACTTCATACCCGACCGGGTAAAGGCTATACCCGACCGGGTAAGTCACCAAATCACATTTCTTGCATGATTTCTTGTTCCCTTGCACTTTCCTTTGATCTTGTAAGATCCCTTCCATGATCCTTTGTTGATTCTTGATTGTTTCTTGCTCAAGATGATTCTAAATTTACTAAATTACAACAAACTAGAAAAATAAAATGATTGCACCTTAAATGTGCAATTACCACAACAACACACCATAAAAAGAAATTAAAAGTAAAAATATAAACACTCAAAAATCAATGCAATCAACTCCCCCACACTTAGTCTTTTACTTGTCCTCGAGTAAAATCCATAAAGTTCTTCACCATCCAAAGAGTGTCAACGAGATAAAAAGAAAAACAGAAATGTTTTCTTTTTCAGTTTAAATTCATCCGCATTATAGAAAGTTATTGATTCTCCCTCCAGCTGCTTGCTATGGTAAAAATGAACTCCTGCAAAACTAATTTCTTCTCTCATTTCTCTCCTTTTGCCTAGGAGCCTTTTTCAGGTTTTCATCCTAGCCTCTCATTTTTTTTACTCACTCTTTTTTTTTTTTTTTTTGCTAATGTTGCTTAGGTTGCCCGTTTGGGTTTTCAACCTAACTAGCATTTCTTCTATTTTTTTATTTAATTTTTTTTTTGTGAAGAAAATAATGCAAGTTACAAGGTAGAAAAAATAATTGTGTACCAATGAGTGACTCCCCCTCACTTAGCTCGGAGCACTGTCCCTAGTGCTCGTTATCGCCATCACTTTTTTTTTGAAGATATAAAGTTGTGGATTGGGAGAGGG